TTCCATCAATTCCTGGTGCCTTGTTCTTTGCCAATTCCTTCAATGCACCTTGGACTTCCTCCTTCAGTATCATTGGCTCTTGATCATATGCTACGTCTTGAAACGGTTGAATGTTAACCATTTCCTTTAGGTACAGTGACTCTTTGTATTCCTTCCATCTTCTTTTAATGCTTTCTGCATCATCCAATAATTTGTCCAGAGAATCCTTCAATAACGAAAGTCGAAGCTTGAATTTTTTCTTCAGTTCCCCCAGCTTGAGAAATGCTGAGCATGTTCTTCCTTTTTGTTTTTCTGATTCCAGATCTTTGCACATTTTGTTGTAATGTTTGACTTTATCTTCTCGAGCTGAACTTTGAAATTTTCTGTTCAGCTCTTGGACCTCCTCATTTCTTCCAGTTGCTTTAGCATCTCTATGCTGGAGAGCAAGTTCATTGTCTCTTCTGACATCAATTTTGACCTTTTCCTTCTTTCTTGTCTTCTTAATGACTTTTTTGCTTTCTTCATGTATGATGTTCTTAATGTCATCCCATAACTCTTCTGGTCTTTGGTCTTTAGTGTTTAATGCATCAAATCTGTTCTTCAGATGATCTCTAAATTGGGATATATCAAGTCATATTTTGGCTCTTGTGGACTTGTTTTCAAGTAAAATGAATGCATATAGTTAATTAAGGTTTCCTGGTGGTGGTGGTGGTGGTGGTAGTGGTGGTGGTTATGTGCTGAGAGTTGGTTCAGTTTCATAGTGACCCTATACAGGGTTTCTAAGCCTATAAATCTTTATAGGAGCAGAAAGCCTCATCTCTCTCCCACGGAACAACTGGTAGTTTCGAACTGCTGATCTTGCAGTTCACAACTGATTCGTAACCACTATGCTACCAGAGCTCCTTGGTAATATAGTGGATTACAAGCTGGGCTGCTAACCACCGAGTCAGTAATTCAAATCTGCTAGTTGCTGCTTGGGAGAAAGATGAGGCTTTCTGCTCCTGTAAAGATTTGCAGCCTCGGAAACCTTATAGAGGATTGCAGTGACTTGGAACTGACTCTGTGGCATATATAATGACACTTTTAAAATACCAAATTAATACATGTAAGTAATTGGCCCACTGCCATCAACTTGATTCTGACTCATAGTGATGACCCTATATAGGGTTCTGAGACCAAATGTTCATGAAAGCAGGCAGCCTTGTCTTTCTCCCTGGGAGCGGCTCTTGGGTTTGAATTGCTGACCTTGTGGGTAGCAGCCCAACATCTAACCCACAGCTCCACCAGTACAGATAATTAGGACAATGAAAAGCTTCCCTCTGTCCATGCTGCCAAAGGATACTACTCTTTACTGTTGTTTTGTATCCTTCCAGAAATTTAGTGTTTATGTATTAGCATGTACCTTTTTTAAAAAAATGTACACAAAGGGAATTATATCATAGCTTTGTACTTTAGTTTTCTTGCTTAGCGTTTATTCAGAGGTCTTGTATTAACATAAATAAATCTTCATTCTTTGTACTGCTTATATAGTGTTCTCTTGTAGGGATAAACATAATATTTGAATATTGCTGAGTATTAATTTGTTTACAATTTCCTAGTAAAAAAAGTGAGCTTCATGTACACACAGTTTGTAATACTTTGTAAGTGTACTGATAGGGAAAATTGCTTGTAATAAAATTGCTGCTTCAATGTCAAATGCATTTTCCCCTTCCTTTTTGATTAATATGTTCTGAAAAATGTCCCAAACCATTTGCCTTATTAATTTACAGCAACAGTTTCTTTTTTATTTATTGAGCATGTCTAATTTCTTTCATTTAGAGTCATAAAAGAAATTTATACATCTAATCTTGGCTTTCATAGATTCATTCAAATGTAGTATTTTCAGAATGTCCAAAACTGATAAGCAAATCTCTATCCTCATGCTTTGACATATGTTTTGGACATAGCAAGTTTTCTGTGTGTGTGTGGTGGGGGGTAGGGTCGGGTAGGGGAAACGGTTAGACAGCTGATGTACCATGAAAGATGGCAGCAGTTGAAACTTGGAATGTAGTGAAAGATGCGTTACATGTCAAATTTATGTCCATTTTTATGATTTTGTTTTTTCTTTGAAAGGTTTTGCCATTGGGAAAGCTACTGAAAGGATGGATGCTTTCAGAAAAGTATGTATATTTTCTTTTGTTGATGTTCAGTACAGGATCAGTAAGCTTTGCCCAACCCCAGGACAATCACACACTCGAAAATGATAGTTGGCCCCAGAGCCTTCCTAGAAGGCTTGCTGTCATAGGCTATTTATCTGGTAAAAAGCCTTTTCAGAAGCACCCACATTATTTGCATCATTTTTACCACACTTGCGATCGATTGTCAAAATTATGAGATGGCTGGGGATTTTGACATTGGCTGGTCAATGGTACTATAATTACTGTTACTGTTTTAAGGTATGATAATGATTTTTTTTTTTTTTCAAGTTTTTACTTTTTAAAAGTAATAACATTTTTAAATATAAGTTTGAAATTTTCCATAGTAGGCTGCATTGTAATTTTGAAATTCTTGAAAAATGTGAATTTCAGCAGTCGTTGTAAGAAGAGTATTTTCATTCTTTATGTCAGGCAAAGAACAGAGCAGTTCACTATCTGCATTACATAGAGCGATATGAAGACCATACAAGTGAGTGTTCCTCTTTTCTGTACGTGCAATTTCAGTGTATGTTTCGATGTGTGTGACAGTCAAGCACTATGGGGATCTCTGTGTTTTTCTGCTTGTTACTCTATTCTTACAAGTGACTATGTTAAATGTCAAGAGCGTTTCTCTCCTGAAAAGGTTAGTGAATCGAGTAAAACCAGAATCGGTCACTCCTCTGTAGCCATTGTTCGCTGGCTGCGTTGGGTAGTAGGAGATGCACTGTGACCTATACAGTGGCAGTAAAGCCGCACTCCTAATCTTGTGCTTGTGTTTTTACCTTTCAGTCTTCCATGATATTTCTTTAACATTTAAAAGGACGCACATCAAGATGAAGAAGCAACCCAGAGGTAACTAAAAGACTTTTCAGTTTGCTGAATAAAGCAAAGAAATAACAATTCCATCATGTCAGCTCTAGATTTGGTCGCCTTAACTCGCACCCATTTTGAAATGCCAAAGCTCTGAGGGAAGTTCAGACTAAACAGTCAGTTTACACAGCCTTCTGTAACACAAGCAAGAGTAGTTGTAGGTGGGAAGAGCACAGGGTGAATTAGAAATAGCAGCTGAATGAGTAGATGGGTTTGGCAGAGTAGGGACATTAGTTCCTCCCAGAGAATTTGTCCGTGCTGTGTTGTTATTGTTATGTGCTGTGGAGTCGGTTCTGACTCATAGCGACCCTGTACAGGGTTTCCGATGCTGTAAATATTTATGGGAGCAGAAAGCCTCATCTTTCTCCCACGGAGCAGCTGGTAGTTTTGAACTGCTAACTTTAGTTTTCTTGGTTAGCGTTTATTCAGAGGTCTGAATAACTTAAGTGTGTCTGGGGAAACTGTAAATTACCTATGTAGTTAGCATTATATTTTTGTTGGGTAGTACTGGTTTAGACATATTTATGTCAGTAATTCTTAATGATTCTGTAATTTTAATTTAATTTCAGAAGTTACCTTTTTTTGTCTTTTCTGCCTTTTAATCAAAGCTACAATTATTTTAGGTTTTTTAATTTAAAATAACCCATCACCCATACTGGGTTAAAATATTCTAATTTTGAAGCTGAAACAGCAAGATTATTTATAGATGATATTTCCTAAACTCTTGCTGTATACTACTAGTTCTATGAGAAGATATTTGTAGATAGTCATCATACTTTAAAAAGGATGGGGGTCCCTGGTTGGTGCAAATGGTTAAGCACCTAGCTATTAATTGAAAGGTTGATGGTTCAAACCCACCCAAATGCTTCTTGAAAGAAAGGCCTGGCGATCTTCTGATGGATCACAACCATTGAGAAACTTACATGTCAAGTGGGAAAACTAAAGAGCAGTTTGTGCTCCTTAAGGTCAGTCTTTATTGCTCTACAGTGTGCACCTCTCATTGGTACTTAGAGAAGGCATCATTCCCAAACCGATTTGACAGTTGGACACACTGAATTGACCCTAGCTGCAGGATATCCTTTAATTCCTCACATGGTGCAAGAGGTTTCTGTTTTTATTTTATTTTTTAAAGCCTTGTATTGTGAATTAAGTGAAGGTTTACAGAGCAGACCATTAGCTTGTATTCAAAAATCACATATTTCGTTTCATTACAATGATTGCAATCCCCTCCACGTACCATCAGTTCACAGTATTTACTCTTGCATTCTCCTTATGTCTCCTGCTCCCTTAACCTTTCCTCTTTCCCTCTTGTTGTGCAGTGCCTGCCCCATCACACAGGTTAACATGGTGACCTTCTACCACTGAATGATTCTGGTAGCGTAGTGATTACGAATTGGGCTGCTAACATCAAGGTTGGCAGCTCGAAACTACCAGCCGTTCCTTGAGAGAAAGATGAGGCTTTCTGCTCCCGTAAAGGTTTACATCCTCAAACCCTGTGCAAGGTCACTATGAGTTGGAACTGACTCCACGGTACTTAACAAATGGTACTTAACAATGACTCCCAACCCTGGTAACCACCATAGAATGTTTTCTTTTATCAAGAAAATCTTTTCTTAACTTTTTACAATGTGGTCTCCTACAATATTTGTCATTTTGTGACTGACTGATTTCACTCAGTATTGTGTCACTCAGAAGTGTGGTGGCTCAGTAGGGTAACCACGGGACCAGGAACCACAAGTTTGGTGGTTTTAGCTCATCAGCTGCTCAGAGGGAAAAAGATGAGGCTTTCTGCTCCCACAGAGATTTAGTCTTATAAACCCTATACAGGGTTGCTATGAGTTGTAATCATTTAGTGGCACTTAACAGTAACAAATGTCACTCAGCATCAAGAGGTTTCATATCTCATACACACACACATTCAACTTCTATTTAAAAAGTGTTTCTTGACACAATCCTTGATTGGAAGCTTTCACAATCAAAGTCAAATCAAATAATTGACCGTAAGACTCTGACTAGAATTCTGTCTACATTTGTGTGTGTACAAGCCAATGGCTACCATTCCTGGAGTGTCTGCCATGGTCCAGGCACTGGGCTGTCTCACTGAGCTCTGCTGAGTGATATTGCGGAGCCATGTGGATCTATGCCCTGGTGCCACAGAGACTGCTTCCCAGCTCCTTCCAGAGAAGCCGCCCTGCCCGCTGTGGGTATGTACATCTGTACATGCTCACATTATGTTTACCCAGGGACATGTGCTTCATGTGTGTGTAACTTCACACACACAGAACAAACAACCCCATTGTTGCCTGCCTTTTGCTACCTTCTGAAGTTCCCAACTCTTACATGAAAAATCATCTAGCCTAGCCTTGGAGTAGGCAGTCAGTTGACTCTTCTAAGTAGAAGGGACAGTTCTAGTGAGACTGTGTGGTGGTGTGCTGTGGAGTTGGTTCCGACTCATATCAACCCTGCATAGGGTTTCTGAGACTGGAAATTTTACGGGAGCAGGAAGCCTCATCTTCCTCCCATGTAATGGCTGGTAGTTTCAAACTGCTGACTTGAGGTTAACAGCACGACTCAGAACCACCATGCTACCATAGTTCCTAATGAGACTGTAGTTATAGTCACAATGCAGTTTTTACCTGTAGATGTTGAATTGCTATGAAAACCCGGAAACTAGAAAGCCAGTTGTGTGCAATTTCTAGAGTAAAATCTTGCCTTTAAGCTGGGAGATGTGTGCTGACTTTCATGCTTGACTAGTCAGAATATCAAAGTTTAAACTTAGGGCCTTTTTCTTTGTACACTTGTATTTGCCAGGTACTGGTTTAGGCTGTATGGATACAGTGGTAAGCAAATAATATCCTAGCCTTCATAGAGCCCACATTGTCTTGAGGAGAATTGGAGGATAAACAAGTGAACAAAAGCAGTGTTTCAAGTTCCACTAAGTGTCTGACTGCAGTAATCAGGACACTGGGTAAAGTAGGGAAGGGTGTGGCAGGAAGGACATCATCTTTGTAGTGTGTTCAAGGAAGGTGTCTCTGATGGGCTGTTTTTGTGAGACCATTGTAGGGGAGCTAGGAGACCATTCCAAGCTGCAGGAGATACAGTTCAAGTCATGGAGGGCTTTATAAACTGTGGAGTTATTTATTTTAATTCAGAGAACAGTGGGAAGTTGAGAGCATTAAATGGGAGTGTTTGTTGTGTTTTAAAGCTCTCCTTTCTGGAAGTTGGTTCACAGGTGGACAAGTGTAAGGCAGTTGACTGGAGAGGAGACCATTCGAAATATAGAGGACAGTAAGGAGGTGAGATGGAGGGGCCAGCCGCTAGAAGGAAATCCAGGAGAGGATGGGTGTGTTACCAAAGCCAAAAGAGTTTTTCCATTGGGAGGAAGTAGATGGGATGTAAGGGTAAGAGCAGATTGAGTCTCATCTGTAGTTAGCATTAGAGTCAAGGGACTTTCAGGCATCTCTAATTCTCTTGATAGCTGTTTTGTGTTTGTTTTACCCACTGTGTTCTGTGTTAAAAAAAAAAAAAAAATCCATATAGAAATTCCCTTTAACCCTTATGCCATCTCATTTCAATAAGTAATCATAGAAATTAAGTAAGTTACCAGGGGTCACCTATGTGGTGGTGAAGCCAGGATGTGAACCCCAGTGCCTGCTCTTCCCTGTGGCCTGCACTGCGGAGCTGCATGTCAATGCCATGTGATGTGAAGACCAGCAGGGCAATTGGCTGCCTGTGCTGCAGGCCTGTGGGCAGCTTTTGGACTCAGTGGCACTTAACAACAACAGCATCCCTTCTCAAATGCCAAATTTATAAGAAATTGCATTATTTAAAAGAAAAAAAACTTTGCCACCAGTTGCAGTGGCATGACAGTGTTTGTAGAAGCATTTCAATTTCAGAAATTTTGAAATGTGCATTCTTTCCCCCTCTTCTAGGTTATGGCCTCCGCTGCCACCGTGCCATCATTACCCTGTGCCGACTCATTGGCATCAAAGACATGTATGCAAAGGTGACTGGGTCTGTCAATATGCTCAATCTCACCCGGGGCTTCTTCCATGGACTCTCCCGCCAGGTAAGCCTCCCTGTGGTCTGGCAGCAGCTCTAGCCTATGTGTCTGTTGTATGAGGACTACAAGGTCATGGAGGCCTCCTGGAGACACTCTCTGGGGCCATCTGAGGATTCGGGCATTCTTTTCTGTCTATGACTGTATCAGGTTAGTGCAACTGAGAAATTAGATGAATGAAAATTAATCTTTAGGCAAATACTTCTCGGGTGTTTGAAGTTTCAGAATGAAATGTTTTAAAACCAAGTGCTTGTTTAGGAAAATACTTCTCGGGTGTTTGCAGTTTCAAATTCAAATGTTTCAAAACTGAATACTTCATCTGAAGAGAATATGTGTTTGTTAAAAAATATGGCACTGTCAAGTAGAAAATTCTCTAGTGTAGGGTAGCCTTTTCAGCCAGGACTACAGTGAGGCACCTAGGACACCTCTCCACTCAAGGGAGCTGTCTTTAGTCGGGGCACAGTCTGGTTTCTCATTACCTGGGTAGGCAGATATTCTGACAGACACCTGAGTTAGTAGAGGGAAGTGCACATTAATATGCAAGATGATTTCTCTTCATAGATGGGGCTTGGGGGATCTGCTCAGCTGACGTTATTCTGTTCCACACCTGAGGGCAGGGCTGTGACTGCAGTGCCCCTCCTCTACCTCAGCAGAGCTAAATGGGCAGACCTTCGAAAGACTCCATTTGCTGACCTTTTAGTCAACTTTGACAGGGGCTTCCTAGGAAGAGTGCTTGTTGTTTATAAATAAAATGATTCATGAAATACTTTACACGACTGTTTAAAATAAGAATAGTAATTAAAGCAGAAAGGCAGCTTTGGTTAAAACATCTTTTTTGACCAACTTTGTCTTTTTTTCCTAAGTATTGGTGACACCTAAACATTCTTCAAAGCGACCTCTAAATTCAAAATTGTTTGATGTAATGGAGATGTTGATTTTATATAGATGATATATCTAATCCAGTCAGCTTGTTTTTTATGTGCTGTTTTTGTTTATTCTTCATGCTTTGTACCTTCTGATGTAATTGCCATGTAATTACCTCTTCTTAGGAGCCCTGGTGTGGCACTGCAGGATAAGCACTGAACTGCTAACCACAAGGTCGGCGGTTCAAACCCACCAGCCACTCCTCATCCCTAGCATTAGTGTGGGTACCAAGGGACTTTCAGGCATCTCCAGTTCTCTTGATAACTCTGTTTTGTGTTTTGTTTTGCCCATTGTATATTGTGTTCAAGAAATTTATATAGAATTTCTGTTTAATCCTTATGCCCATACAGGGGTCTCTAGGAGTTGGAAATGACTCAGTGGCAATTAACAACAACAGCATCCCTTCTCAAATGCCAAATTTATAAGAAATTGCATTATTTAAAAGGAAAGAAAACTTTGCCACCAATTGCAGTGGCATGAGAATGTTTGTAAGAAGCATTCCAATTTCAGAGATTTTGAAATGTGCATTCTTGTCATCAAGAGACATAGTAATACTACCTGCATTTGTGCCCCATGCCCCTTTTGATAGAACTCATAAATTACTGTTTTTACTTGCTATTAAAAAGCAAAAGTGGAATTCTGGTGTGGTGCAGTGGACTAATGCGTCACACTGCAAAGTCGTTGAACTGCAAGGTCAAGCTTACCAGCTGCTCCTTGGAAACCCAATACAGTGTCTCTGTGGGTTGGAGTCAACTCTACAGCACTTAACAACAACAAAAGCAAAAGTACTATTAAAGTATTATGATTTTAGTTTTGTAAAACAGCTCATCTCTTCACATTTTAAACATATATAGGTATAGGATGTTATAAGATGGTCGTCAAGTCTGGAAACGTGGGCTTGAACATACCAGGTTCTGTTATGTACTGTCGCTAAACCATGCACTGTGTTTACTGACTTATGTGTCCAGTCTATTTTGGCCACCTTCTGTAGTGAGTCCCTATGGCCAGCATTATCAGTTGCCACCTTGTGGCCAGTTTTGTTTTCAGTGCCATTTGTGCCCAGCTCTCAAAATAACCTTAGAAATCATTTTATTTTATCCTTAAATATTTCATTGTATATCTGTAAAAGATAAGGTCTTTAAAAAGACCTTACGATACTATTATCATACTTGAAAGAAAACAATAATTCAGGATCCTCAAATATCAAACCATTTCTCAAATAAAAATTGTTTTATGTAATCTTAGTCAGGTTTCAGTAAAGATCAGTTCGTTGTAATTTTTTGTTTTGCCTTTACATTTCTCTTAGTCTGTAATCCCGTCTGTCTTTTCCTTGCAGTGTGTTTGTTGAAGAAACCAGGTTATATGTTCTGTAGAGTTCCCTAGTCTGCTATTGACTGAAGCCCTGTAAGGTTCTGCGTATATTCTTCCCCGACATATTTGTAAACTGGTAGCTCTAGGGCCATGATGAGCTTCAGATTCCAGTTTTGCACAAATTCACGCACAATCAGGAGAGTTTAGAAAACAAGAGATTAGAGGCTAAGACCCACCCTTTCCTCCTTTCCAATTAGGGATGGAGATATCAAGTTGGGATGATTCTACCACAGTTTAGCCACAAAATATGAGGGGACTTCAAAAAGTTTAGGAGAAATTCCATTGTCTTTCAGTTATGTTTTTCCAAGAACTTTTTAAACCTGCTCATACATTACCTAGAATCAACTGAAATAGTCTTTTAAATTCCCTCAAGTAGTGCATTGTTTTTATTGATGACTTCCCTCTGAATGACACAAGGTCCTGCTCTTTGAATTGATGCCACCTAAACCTTAATTTGGTTTTGTCCAGGAAACCCATCAACAGCTGGCTGATAAGAAGAGTCTCCATGTTGTGGAATTCCGGGAAGAATGTGGCCCTCTTCCCATCGTGGTTGCCTCCCCCCAAAGAGCCTTGAGAAAGGATCCAGAGCCAGAAGACGAGGTTCCGGACATCAAACTAGACTGGGAAGATGTGAAGACTGCACAGGGAATGAAGCGCTCCGTATGGTCAGGCTTAAAGAGAACTGCCACCTAAGTGTCGCTCTGGCCTTCCAGCAAGAGCATCTGGTGCTGCCCGGCACCTAGAAGAGACTTTTGGTTTTTAAGGAAAGGCCAACCATGTCTTCTTTATTTACAAGTAATAAAGAATTATAGCTCTCATTTACTGAGTCCATGCTATGTGCCAGTCACTGTGAGAGACAGAAATGACAATATATTGATCTTTTCTACATCCTGCCTCAGATATATCTGATAAATAGAAACATCTGAATACTGACTTGATTCATACATATCTCAGTTATTGACTACTTTAAATATTTATTTTAAATTGCACAAGTAAATTAGAGATACAGGGTTAGTAGTCTGACCCTGTTCATGAATAGTGTCTTATAGAAAGATCAACATGAGGCTGGTCCCTATGAGGTGGAAGTTAAATATATCCAAAATATCTGACTTTTCCAACATGTTTTATACCCCTCCATAATTCTTGATATCAGTCACCATTCCTCCCCTTCAAATCCCAGGGTTCTGCCACACACTGCAACATCTCCCAGAATGCAAGACTGTCAAAGGAAATGCCTCACACACTTGTAGAAGATTGTTGTTAAGTTCCATCGAGTCAGTTTCAACTCGTAGTGATCCTGTCTTTTCCTTGCAGAACGAAACACTGCTCAGTCCTGACATCCTTACAGTTGTTCCACCTGAGCCCATTGCTGTGCAAATCCATCTCATTTGGGGTCTTCTTTTTTACTGACCCTCCACTTTATCCATGATCTCCTCCAGAGGCTGGTCCCTCCCTTCATGTACGCAGTATGAAAGATGAAGTCTCGCCATCCTGATTTCTAAAGAGCATTATGGCTATACTTCTTCCAACACAAATTTGTTTATTCTGGCAGTCCATCTTCTCTAACACCATAACTCAAAATGCATCAGTTCTTGTACGGTTTTGTTTACTGAGGCTACTGAAAATACCATGCTTAGGTCAGGCACACCTTAGTCCTTAAACTGGTATCTTTGCTCTTGAACACTCTTAAAGAGGCCTTGTGCAGCAGATGTGCTTAATGCAATACATTGTTTGATTTCTTGATGCTGTTTCTATGAGTGTTGATTGTGGAGCTAAGCAAAATGAAGTCTGACTTCAATCTTTTCATTTGTCATGATGTATTTATTGCTTCAGTTTTGAGGATTTTTCTTTTCTTTACACTGAGGTATTCCGAAGGCTGTGGGATTTGATCTTCATTTAAATATTTTAAGTCCTCTTTGCTTTCAGAAAGGAAGGTTGTATCATCTGCATATCACAGGTTGTTAATGAGTCTTCCTTCAATCCTGATGCCATGTTCTTCTTCATGCAGATTGAATAAGTATGGTGAAAGAATATAACCCTGAAGCATACCTTTCCTGATTTTAAACCACTCAGTATCTCCTGGTTCGAACAACTACTTGGTCTCTGTACAGGTTCTTCATGAACACAAATTGTCTGGAATACTCATTCTTCACAATGTTATCCATAGTTTGTTATGATCCACACAGTCAAAAAATGATCCACAAAGTCAATAAAGCAAAGTAAATATATTTCTGGTATTCTCTGCTTTCAGCCAAGATCCATCTCATTCCATGTCTTCTGAATCTGACGAATTTCCGGCAATCCCTGTACATACAGTGCTGTAGCCATTTTAAAATTATTTCAGTAAAATTTTGCTTGCATATGATATTGATAATAGTCTTCAATTTCTACATATGGTTGGTCACCTCTCTGGAATAGTCACAATATGGATCTCTTCCAAATGGTTGGTTAGGTAGAAATTTCTAGTGAACTATTTCTATTTGTGTTCCACCAATTTCTGGAGCCCTGTTTTTCACTAGTGCCTTCAGTACAGCTTAGATATCTTCTTTTAGTACCATCAGTTCTAGATCATTTGTTACCTCTTGGAATGATTGAACATCGATAATTTTTGTTTGGTATAGTGATTATAGTCCTTCCATCTTTTTTTTGTTGTTGTTAGTTTAAGGTTTTTATTGTGGATTGAGTGAAAGTTTACAGGGCACATCATCAGTTTCACATTCAACCATTCATATAACTTGTTTCATTACATTGATTATAATC